ATACGCTGTATAATATTTAAAAAAGGTGATGCTATACAGTCTACACAGTCATGTTTTAAACCTTTGCCAAGGCTTTAAATCACGGAAGAGTTTATGTGGTTTGTGCTTTAAACCTTTGCCTTTTCCTTAGCGGAAAGCATTTTAAAACAAGTATTATAAACAACTATAACAAAATTCTAATAGGAGTGCTAGCTTTCCATGGGTGACTAATAAAAATGAAATGAAAAATAAAAAACGAAACTATTTTATTTTTTAGAAGTGCTACCAAGCAGAACCACGCATTTGGAATCCGAAGCATAAGGACCTTATGTAGACAAAAAAAAAGTAGCAGATGCACGTTTCCTTTTATCTTGCTTCTTTTTGTAATAAAAATAGGTCTAGCCGAAGCCATTCACATATAGTACAACACGATTAACTGTCGTTCACGACTTTCTTGTCGTTACGACGACTGACTGTCAATGTGGTCTGTGGTCATGACAATGAGAAGAGCTAGAACGACAATCGTCTGACGTTAAATAAATCGTCACGATACGACAGATAATCGCAACTTTAAACGATTCTGTCGTGCAAACGACAAGGCGGCTGCCATGAACCGATAAATTGTCGTCACGATCTAGTGGGAACAGCTAGACACGATAATCGTTCAACGATAAAATAAACGTCACGACACTATTGGGGAAGCGCCCTTATGCTTCATACTGTGCAGCTTGGATTTTTTTTATAAAGGAATTCTTATGAAAACTTTGCTAACGGAAGCATGAAAAGAATAGCTCTCAACAGGCTTAGTTTGGCTTTCTATAATGTTGCTGATGCAAATAACTTTGTCGATGACCCCAGCATTGTGACTCGTATGGAAGTACTGCGTGGTATCCTTGCTGACTGGACAGATGCCGCTGATTCCCGAAAGTATCGAAAGAACTGGGAAATCATTTTAAATTCCTGGTTTTCTCATAACAACTTTCGAGACCGGGATTTTCCGGTTCTGAATCCTGTACCACACAAATTACAACGTAGCTAAATGTGAGAGAAACCTAAATATTCTCAAATGTTTGACGGGTCTTTGGTGGGGAGCATATTCTTTTTGTTTAAAATTATTATATAATTAACGTATTAAGAATCTTAATGCATCTTTCATATTTGACCTATTTTATCAGTTTAAAAAAAAAATGATAGCGATCAATCTAAAGCTTTAAGAATTATATTGGGAGCGATGAAGGTGAGTCCCATTAATGCGTTGCAAGTGGAGTGTGTGGAACCTCCTTTTCAATTGAGACTCCCACTACTTATTGGACTCATAAGTCTCTTCCCTATCTGGTTATTAGTTTCCGTAAATATTTGTCTTTGCAAACTCCAATTCATAACTCCCTTTGTCTATCTCTTTTCTCTACTAAATACGAAGCTTTAGTTCTATCTCCGGATATTCGTTTGTCTTCAGGTATGTATAAGAATTCTATTGAAAACTTTCATACTTTCGGGATAAGGACAGGGACTTCTCTTTGTGGCACTGCATTTTTAGTGATGCTTTTAAACATGGCACTGACGGTGTTGTTGGCGTTGGTTTGTATCATAAACAAATAACATCGTTGAAAAAAATAAATTCCCTCCAGAAATACTCCTGTGAATTGATCACCCCCTAAACGGGGCCCAGAAACGTCCTATACAGGTCATTAGTATACGTTAGTATGCTCACTTTCGACGTAAGTGTATCCGGGGAACAATGATATATATTTTTTAACTTTTTGGGGTAGTCAACTTCACACTGGCTCGTTAGTATAGCCAGATTCGACGGTATTGTCCCAAGAGAACAATGATTTTTTTCAAAAACAATTTATTACGTGTGTCGTTCTAAAACGCACGTGATGTCGTTGATGTCTTTCATATGAAGCAAAAATTTGACTTCGTTGATGTCTTTTTCATACGAACCAAAAATCAGCCGGTTAATAATAGAATATATAGATACGTAAAACGTGTGGTTGCTGAAAACTTCATGTATATTCTACACCCAATCGGCTGATTTTTATTTCGAAAAAGACATCAACGAAGTTAGATTTTTTCTAGTCATGAGCGTTATTGAACGACTCACCTAATAAATTGTTTTTAGAAAAAAAACCATTGTTCTCTTGGGACAATACCATCGAGTGTGGGTAACGATTTGCTCTCAACCTGCGCAAGAACTCATATGTGAAGTTGACCATCCCAACTTTGCTTTTTTTTAAATTATGTATCCGAGTATACTTACGACGAGTGTGAGTATACTTACGATATACTTACTAACGATTGCCGCAGAAAGAATCACTGAAAATCGTTTTGGGGCAGTGTGAAGTTGACCACCCCAAAAAGTGTAAAAAAAGATCAGTGTTCTCCGGGTTTACTTACGTCGAGGGTGGGCATACTAACATCCTGTATTGGTCGTTTCAAGAGTGGTCAACTTCACAGGAGTTCCAGACACTTTAGTTTTTACTGAAGGGTGTTGCGGTTTATACAAGTCAATAGAGTACGTTCTGTTAGCCTGACTAAGAAATATTGCAATTTTTTTCGACTCTATGAATGCCCTTCAGGCGCTGTCTAGATATCCGTTTAAAACTTGATCGGCTTGCCCATACTCGAAACTAGAAATTTGTAGTTAGCTTGCTTTTCGAAAGGGTTGTCTGTAGTTTTCTCCTGGATACCGAGTCATTCCGGAATTCGTGGTAGCTTTTTATAAATCTAAGTAGAAAATAAAGCGTGGTTGCTTTTGAGTGTCACACCGGCTGCCTTTGCGCCGCTGTCCCGCCGCGAACTACGCGTGGGATTGCCGTGTGGCACGCCCCGGTACGCATTCACTTCCCGCAGGTTCGTCGCCGAACCGCTTTTCCCGCTGTACTGAAACTGTGTGTCCTGAGCTTAGTACAGGATGGCAAAAGGTACGTCCGAGTTTGGAGGAGCAATTTAAAAAAAGCACAGAACTTTAACCACTATATTTTCTTCCTACAGAATCTTGGTAGAAAGCCTAGTGTCCGCCAAGATTCGGCAGGTAATGAATTTACTTTAATTCCTTTGAAAGTCTTGAATCTTCGGTTTAAAATAGTAAAGTTAATGGTAGGTACTATGCAGGCACTCAGAAACTAGTACCAAACTAGGGTTTTGTGAGTTGGTGACCAATATCCTCATTCGAATTACATTAGCACACGAGTGCCCGGTAGACGAGATTTAAACTTATCATAGTACCTCTATTACAAGATGGTGGTTAGGTGGAAAACCTACAAGTCTTTCACTTTTGTGATCCTTTCTTCTATCCCAGAACTCTTTTCTCTACCTTAAAATTTTCCACACAAACATCAAAGCTAACCTTCAAATGCTGCGTAAGAAAAGTGTGAAGTTACTAGTGAAGACTTGGTTTTAATTCATTATTACATTAAATTTGTAGGCGTTTATAATAATTTGAGAAAGAGCTTGTTTGTTACGAGTAACACTGTAAATGTGTGTGTGCGATTCTGTAGTTTTCCTATATTTTTTTCAGTTAAGTATATTTTGTGCGCATTGTACTTAAAATATTGTGTGCTTTTGAATTATTTGAATGGAATAATTCAGTACTTGACTGTTATTATCAGGTATAATATTAAATACAAAACGGCAGCCTTTACACATAAACATTGCGTGTGGAAATCAAAAGTGTTCTAATTAACTTTGATATATTTTGCAATAGGACAAAAAAAGTTCAACCAAACTTGCTAGGAACCTGGTGGTTCCTACCTCCTCCTTCCTAGTTTACGGACAAGGTAAAGTGAAAACAAATTTAACACATTTATTATCAGCAAAAGACAATAAATACTTAGTAAAATTCCATAAAGTGGAAAACCAGAGACACCAAATACCTTAACAATAGGTACCAAGTTATATCACAGAACCAACAAAAACTTAATAAATAAACTAATTACTTTTCTGCATGGTGGTTTTTTAGCTACCATTACACCACGCTTGACAAAAGATAAAACAAAAATACAGTTTCGTGTCATAGACCTAATTAACTTCTATCAAATAAGTAGGTCAGGAAAGTGAACTTTGTTCCTTGTAACAAATTTTAATAAAACGATCAACATTATTTAATAATTAAATAAAAATGAAAGTCCTTTTCACAACACGCTACACAAAAAATACAACCAAGTACCTACACAATGTCGTAATAATCCCACGGCATATTTTGACAAAAAAAGCTACATATTTTTGTAGTAAGCAAATTTATAGTAAATGGAACAACCTGGTTAACGTCGCACAAAGATACTGGTCGCATCTAGCCCATGATCATACTCGTGGTGGGTTTCTATTCGCTGGTCCGAGTCCAGTTGTGAATTTATTTGCTCTATCTGGTTAGCATATATGACATTACGTGTCTTTGTTTAAAAACTACGCAGTTCCTTTTGTAAATTAATTTGTTAATTCCACAAGCCTCACATTCGTAAGTATGTTTTAACAAAACCCGTGTAAAATAACTTAGAAATTACTTAAGTTAGAAACTTCATAGTGGTTTCTTATTTCGAAGTCGTAATTTATCTTTAAATCTGTCTAATTCCATCCACGTTTACTAACAGATCAGTACATAATAGACCTCTTGTTCGCACAGATCTGCGCTACTTTCATCGGTGACCACGATCGCAGTTGATCAATGAGCTATACGCATGAAGTAGACTACTAACTTTTATCTAAGTAATATATCAGACTAACTTACAGTACTGCACAACATCTACACTAACACGAACTAGGTTTTAAGCCACGAGGTACAAGTCAATGTATTGACATAAAAAAATCATGATGTTTCATAATCAAAGAAAGTACACACCTACATAATTTAACAACAAGATTATTAATCGATCTAAATAACTTAATACTCAATTTCTAATTTCACTACATGAATATCAAGAAATTCACAACAAGAACTACAGTTTTATATTATAAAAAAAGATTTTAACTTTGTAAATCCTATTTTCTTTTAATTTTTATTTTATTCCCAAAACGAAACTTTAACACCATTAACGCTCTTCTCTACACATTTTTGATCTGGTTGGATGCTTGGATATTGATATCTAACACACAGTTTTGTCTATAATCTATAGACAACTAAATGAATACACCATATTATTATATAATGATTACGAATTAGGTACAAATATCTTAAACTTAAAATTAAAATCACTCAATGGCACTTTACATACTTCTAAAACAATTTAAATATGGAATTACACAATTCAAAATAACACAGTTAAAATAAATAGCTAATATTATATTTCCATATTATTATCAACATCAACTCAAAATTACATCCATCCGAAAAGGCTTAATGAATTTTGGAATGATAGAATAATTTTGTAATACCTACGTATTCCGCTGCAAATCATTAAACTTCAGTGATACATATTTTTTTAATCACACATACTGAGTGGCATACATTCCGTTAGCGCTTTTTATGCCGGTTGCGGGCGTCGTGAGTGTGTTCGCATGTGCCGAGTGATCATGTCACGACGACATGCAGCATATGGGCATGAAGGGCACCTGTACGGTTTCTCTCCAGTGTGAGTGCGCTGATGAGTTGCCAAGTGATCGGAACGCGAGAACACTTGCCCGCAGGCTGCGCATGCGTATGGCTTGACGCCACTATGCAGCCGCGCGTGGCGCGTCAACATGTCGGAGCGGGCGAACCGCCGACGGCAGACATCGCACTCATAAGTACGTGCTGCATCAGGGATCTTGTTTCGATGTCTCGATGCCACATGCTTCGCTAAACGGTCATGGACTGCAAAAGTTTGCCCACATGTACTGCAAACATAAGCTGGTGGGTCGTTTTCAGATGCTGCTGTCACAGTCTGCTCTTGTTTCACAGAAAGATCTAGAGGTGCTTCTTCCTCAGATTGATTGGTATGATACTGAGAATTTATTGCTATCCACCTATTAGAAGGATAGTGGTTATTGTTGCGCAACTGAATTGCAAGCTTGTCAAGGAGGCGCGAGAGCCGCCGTCGTTTATGTAGGTGACGGGGGCTGCTAGGCAGAGGTATAGCGTCGGCCATGCTACCCACATAGCTGCTGCTGCCCGCGTCTGGCGCGCCCATTTCCAACGCTTCTTTCCATGGACCTGCAACATTAATGTTTTTACTTTAGTCCATTGTTGGGCATTGCTTGAATATAGATGCGTGGGCTGTTTTGTTTCTACGATTGCAAAAAAATAATGGAATTTTGAAAACCAGCTTAAATACCTATAATCACGGGTTATAATTCCTATACATCTGGTGGAAACTTACGACGTATCTACGTCGTTATTTAGTACAAAATTATTTGAAACGAATTTTTTTCTGGTTACACATGACATTATCTCTGAACATGAGGCAGGTGTTGGATTTTTTGCTCACTGTTTACCTGGTGAGATGGCATAACATGAGCAAACACCGTTGATATATTGCAACTTGGACGCATCTGTCTATTGAACAGCGTGGAAGAATCTTATCCTTTGCTTGTTATTGGCAAAACGGAGGAGTTTTTTGGACCAATCAGGGGTCTTCACGGCTATACAAAGAAGATCCCCATAGGATTAAAAATCCGGAGTGGGTTGGTAATGGCCTGTGGTTTTTTTTTAACAATATTCCATCCACACTATCTGCGGTAGGTAGGACCAAAAGAGGCGTAACTAAGTTTCTCAACAATGCGGAGAGTTGATGGGACTGGTTTTGAAGAGAGATAACTGTGTAGGTAAGCTTTTAACCATGTTAAATACTATTTGTGCAAAGGTCTGAACCCGAAATTAATGAAGCTGGCTGTTATCTGGTTTCTAAAAAATGTGATTCGACCTGTAGGTCAATCAAATAATCAGAATAATTATTTACTTCGTCTGAATGTGGTAAAGAGAAAACCTTACAATTTTAATGGCAGGTTTTCTTTACTAAAAGTAGAACTTTCAGTTATTCAGTTATCAATCTACTTAGATACAATTTACCCAACCCAATACAACCTATCCACTTTACATGGATTATAGTTAAATATCTGTGTACATGGGTATAAATGGGTTGATCATGATGATGATGATAATTTGTGTACATTCTATGTTATCTACATAATTGCCCAATTTTTATATTATGTGGAATAACAACAGTCTACTACTGCTGGGTTATAATAAATGTGCTTAATGAGATATTGATAGTTATTTTTTCTTCTACTACTACTACGATTACTGATTTTTCTGTACTTTCCTAAAATTTGGAATATGCAAGGGAACGCTGCTTAATAAAATATCATACCCTTTTAATGTTTAATCATACACCTATACTACAATAAAAAGTAAGTAGGTACTATGAGAATCAATTAAGTTTGCCAAATTTGTTGGTCATATGACCAATAACGTATGCCGACTTTAGGTACACGCTTAAAATGCTCCTATGTAGAAATTTACTAATTTTTAAGCACTCCCGTGTATTTGTATGATGGCTTTACTAGTTTTGTTTTCTCTGACGACAGCGAGCACGATCGTACAAAAGTAATATACCTATTACGTACATATTCACCGTTCCAATTAGACTGTCCAAACCAATGCATTTATCCAAGAATAAGAAGTGTTCACATCCACATTAAGCACAGTATTCTTTTTATTCGCCGAACGTTTTATTAATCGCATTTCTGAGATGCACTTGGTTTTAGCACTAGCATCGAGGTGCGTGTAGTGAACGGTACGTAAGGTCGGCGGGTCGGGTGTGCGACCGTCGACCGGTCTCACCGCCCCCGCACCTTGCGTGGTAACATTGGACATTCACACACGCGAGACGTCAAGATTACGAAAAAGAGCCCATACTATACGTCTATACTGAATCGCGCATCGCGCCCGACTGACGGAGTTGAGTGAGACTGACACGAGCGCCTGCGCCGCCCGCGCGCCCACTATACTCCTGCGGCTACTACCAATGCATCGCTCCAATCGTACGGTACGGCCACGCATGATATTCAATGGTCTGAGTATAGATGGGTGTGGATTATGTACTACTAGCACTTGGCTCACCCTGTAAATTTGCAATTCACTGATTTTGTGCTAGCGCAACTGGTGAGGATGTTCGATAAGGCAAACTTGATTTGTAGTTTTAAAACACACATAGTTAACGTATGTCGGCAAAACCGTAAGGAAGTGACGTTATTTCAGCGTTATCGTAATCAAGTATTAAAAATCTGTTCTTGTAGGAAAAGTTTCGGCCGACTATTTTAGAGTACTATTGCCCACATGTGTAACTTTCACAGACATATTTTGTGGTAACTTTACAAGTGCGCGGGCGCCTCCATTCTTGAATTTAGAGAACCTCAGTATCTAGCTTAGATAGCATTACACTTACATGAAGTCTTGATCCAGTAGAGATCAACAATTTTAAGTTTTCGAATCGAGAGTAGACCCCCTTATTCCTACTAAATCTTTCTAATTTGTGAGTTAAATCAACTATTGTTCCGATTTGAAATGTCAAAAGTTTCGATCGGCCAGTTGTGAATTGCAATTATACGCCGCAACTCGGAAGAGACAATCAAAATCAAGCTGCAGGCCTCGTGGAGTAAATACAGTGGCGTGCGACTTTTGATCAGAAAGGATCAAGTTGAGAAATAAATGAATGAATGAGTAATTGGCTTTAGATTTCTATTCCTGTTGGTTTTCCGTGAATAAACAAAACAAATTAATTTTGCGATTAGAAACAATTAAATTATGTTTTTTTCTAGATACAAATAGATATAAGCTACAGCTATTTAGATACTTTCTAAGTTACATATAATTGTGTTGCTAATCCTAGAATGAAAGGGAACTTGTGAAGCAATAAATATCACATTCATTCGATTTTGTTCGTGCATGTTGTTTATTATACATATTAAAGTGATTAAAATGAAACACAAATTAAAAGATAAAGTTAAAGATGTTATTTACATTAGGCCACGTTGCCAGTTATATAAATTTTGTAAGAATGATTTTTTAGAAACAAGCAATTTTGTGCAAAGACATTCTGTGTAAAATCAACTAAAACAAAAAAATTATCAAAATGATATATTTAACGATAGTATTTTTGAGCCGACTGTATTATTTTTGTTCCACAATTTTTTTTTTTTTGTTTAAACATGTTAACGTAGACATATTTCTTTCCCAGAAAATTATGATTGGATTCCGGGTGAGAAAAAGCGGGCCGTTCTTAATGGGATATTCAAAATCTCAAGGCAAGACCTTCTAGTTACGTAATACGTCGTAATTATAGCCAAAGACATATCCCTCAATTCAAATCTTTGGGCCATCGAATGGTAAATTTCTGCGCACTTCACACACAACAAACCTAAAATATGTACAAATTTATGAAAAAAATTCAGTTCCGTTCATACCTACTTACTATATTTACAAATTATGAAAACGTCAACTTTAGGGTAAAACCTGCCAAAACAAAAGCAGTGCGGAGTTTCAAAAGCGAAGGTATATTTCAGTTTCAAAGTTAAATACAAGTGAATGCAATTTCATTTTTGTGAACTCTCTAAATCCCAAGTTTAGTTCCGTTTAAACATCGGGAACACGTTGGAAAGAATTAATTTTCAAAATATAAGGTATATAATATAAAGTAGGGTACCTACCTACATCTACTTATAAATTTATAGTATTTGGAGATATGTGCTGGCAATAATTAATTCCAATTGTACGAAGGTGATATTTTTACGCACAGCTATTTGACTCCTTTTAATATATCAATTAGAAAGTTAATAAAAAATACTTGCCCACCAAATTATGGCAATGTTTTTATGAAACTATTCAGTAATTTAAGTTGCCGCCCGGAACGCTAGCCCACAATTAAGGTGGTATCAGTATAGGTATGGATTATATTGGAGCCGCAAGTTTGCATCAGAAGGATCAATTTAATATACAAAAGGAAAAACACTTTTTATGTGAATCCAAAATTTTCCTTTCCTGTGTAGAATTTGTAACTGTGTCCAATTTCTGTGTGTCCTGTGCATTTAGAATAGATATTTATGTATGATGTTGAGCAAAAGGCGTTTAATTAGCCATATAGGTACTGCCAAATCTTATATTTTAAATTTTCTTCAATCATTTAATTTTCTAATACTTTTGTTCTGAAAATCGCAATGGTTTTACGGTGGCCATTTTGAAACTCAGTAGTTTAATTTTTCCGCCATTGGTTAAGGCACAGCTAAGGCGTCTAATTAAGCGTACATCGAGATCTTAAAATTTAACTTTTCAATAATTTTTTTTTTACCAATCGTCTACGATAACTATGTAGTAGCGTACTCTTTGCAAACATCGCCGGCGCGGCGCTTGCCCATGTAGCGCCCGGGTGCAATCAATACCCTGGCGCCCTAGTAGGCACGCGATCAAAATGGAATGGAAACCCTCTTGCTGTATGCTGGAGATGGGATGAGGCAAGTATGTCGGCACTAGCGGATACGGAGGATTTCGTTGCTCAGCATGGAGGGGCTCGAGATGGAAGGCTCGTTTGGTGTTCGACGAGCCTTATATTTAGAGTCAGGGGACCGTTGTTCTCTCTTCTCGGAGAGGGGCTGCGCTGGACGCGGCCAGTCGCTGGTGAAGGCGCGGACGAGTGATAGCGTACCCGTGCCTACACCTACACCTGCAGCTGCAGGAGGAACACCCCGGGGGTTTGGTGCGGTTGGGCTGCTCCCCTTCAGGGTTCAGCCCAGTCCCACATAACCACGGCTCTGCCCCCGTAGGGCCTGGGTATTTGTAAGCAGATTCCTTCGGGTAATAAAAAAAAGGTTGTCGGCACACGTGGCCACACCAGTTCTCAGCCTATACTCCAAGGGATGAGAGTCATTCCGTTTGGGCGTTTGCCATCAGTTTTTAATTCTTGACATGCCGCTCGTCTCGAGTATACTCGTAGCGGGCACGTTAACCGTGGCTAAGGCGGGTTCGTTGAGGGCTACATGCCGTACTGCCGGCGCTCAGCTGCCAGGAAAGACAGTGACGACCCATAGCACTTACTATTTCCTTCTACTAACCGATAAAACTAAGACCCGTTTCTATATGGTGAAATGTAACTTGGATGCACCTAATTAATTCGTCCCTGATTTTGACATAAACTATTTTTCTTGTTTCAGACCGAAGGG